ATTATTTGAATTATTGAAAGTCGATATTTTTGAAAAATCTATATATTATAAGTTTAAAATTAATAAATAAAATTTTATTATTTAAATAATATAAAAAAATAGATAAAGGATTGTACATGTATAAATATTATTATATAATTATCTAAGTTTATTAGGATTTAGTTTAGAGGATGATACAACACTCGCTCTGAAGCAATACACTGCCTCGGCTGAGCGATCTCCAAAGACTGGCAGAGATAAAATTTCAACTATTTATTGAATTACATTGAAATAATTCCTTTTAATTCTACATTTTCGTGTACTTATTTTATCCGAAACTTATGTATATTAATAAACGTACATATTAATAAAAAATAAAGAGGTACTCAAAAAAGTACGTTGAAAACTTACAAGCTGGTTATGTGTGGGTCCCAAGACACACTCTTTGAATTTTCGTGTATTCTCACATTGAGAAAAAAAATATTCTTGCAGGCTTATCATATGGCTTATCACAATTAAAGGTTTTTTAGCCTCAGTCCGAGTCTTCAAATTATATTATAAAAAGTTACAGCAATGTAAAAAATCGTATAAGATACGTTGAACTCATGAATAATTCATTAGAGTTAACAATCAAGTTAATCTTCTTGATATAAATAGTGTTTATCTCTTAATTTTTTAATTTGTCAAACACTGAGAATAAAAGATTTTAATAAATAAGAGAGAGAATAAAGATTTTAATAAAACTAGAATAAAACGAGATAAAGCATACTAGGCCTAAGACCCCTAGACGCGATACAGTGTTCAATAGATATATGAAGCAAACGATCTCGGGGTTTATGAGCCGAAACTAGAATAAATGAGGGCGATAATTAAATTCTAATCAGGACGCAAGTGTTCGTGTAAAGAGAAATTGCATTGGATATAGAATACATGCAAGCATATGCGATGTATGTTCTCCGGTTACTACATTTGCTATAAAAGATCCAACGTAACATTTCGACTTATAATTTCCCAAAGTGGACGTTATCGTCCACCAGTGGGCCTGAAGAAATCTACGGACAGACATTGCTAGTCTCAAGAGCATTAAGTCACGCTCCTCAGTGAGCCAAAAAAATTTGGGAAGCTATATTATATACGATTATTAAGATAAAATCCAAATGTTGCTGAGGGACTAAGAGATCTAGAAGTTGATAGAATTATACATATAAGGTTATTATTACTAACATTATAGCAATAATAACTATAAAAATTATGTTCCTAACTATAATTATTTTACCATGCAATTATAGTCACAAATACAATACACCTTTCTCTCAGTGTGCTATGCTTATGCAGTTTATATCATTTTGTCAGAGTTGGGTAAGTTAATGTTTTTTTTAAACTAAATTAAGTTAAAGTTAATGACTTATAAAATTAATAAAATTAAGAAATAAAAAACCGACTAGATTAATGTAACAACGTAATATAGTAGAGAGCGTCTTAGGATCGGTCAAAGTTGGAAGTTTCGAATAATATAATATTGTAAGTTCATGCATTTAATTAATTTCAAGTGTAACTGTGCATCAAAACGTTCAGATATTAAAATACAATCAATCTGAGATAAATATTACCTCAGTCAGGTATTTTAACCTGTATATACGCCACCTGATTATGCGTTCTCTCACTATACATGTCAACAATTATTGCGAAGAATATTTTCGAAGCTTCAGTGTCGAGCTGGCTAAGACGCTTGCCTCGGAAAGTCGAGAGGTCCCAGGTTCGAATCCTGGCTGAGGTAATATTTTTCGCAATAAAAGTTTCTTATTTGAAATAAAGGAGGATTATATATACTCGCGATTGTCCAAGACAATCCCATCGCGGGACCGAGATATTTTTTGTTACGGGGGTAGGGAGGGGGGAGATGAAAGGTGCGGGCATCGGAATAGCGCACAATTTTTTGCTACAGCGGCTCAATGTCTCCGGCGTACTGACATTTTAGTGAAAGAGTTTTTTCTTATTATTTATGACGAGGACCTTTACAAGTATTTTCGGGAAACTCTTGCTTTCACTAGAGAGAAAGGGAAGAAAAAAAGGAATGAATAAGTTCATGCTAGTATGCGTCATCGTAATCGAATAATTTACTCGTTTTTTAGAAAATAAATTTCTTTTGCATTCTATGCCGGAAATATTTTTATTTAAATATGATAAAATCTTCATTATTTAAGCCTGAAATGTTGGGATTTTTGGAATGTGAAATAGTCGAGAATTTAAGTTACAAACATTTTCTTTATTGATAAAAGAGTTATTATTATGATAAAAGAGTTATTATTATGATAAATGAACTATATCACATGAAAAAATATATTATAAAAGTCATAATCCTCGATTCATTAAAATTATTTTAATAATTTCGTTGAATTTTAATTCAATTATTTCTAAAAATAATATATTAAAGTACGAAGGCAAGTCAATAAGTTCTTAGAAAATCTATCAGAGGGCACTCGCTCATGTCACATTACTTTTTGACAAGTAGCATTTCTCAGCTGATTATTGTCAAATTTTGAGCGGAAATTCATCGCGTGGTTTCATTTCTGTAGACGATTAAAGCGAACAACTTTTGTATTTTTTGCAAAATAGAAAAACCGAGTTTCGTGCAATGATCAAATATCTTCATATGAAAGATTTAACGCCGAAAGAAAAAAAGCTGAATTAAATAATGTTCTTAGCACATCTGCACCAGCGTTTGCGATTGTATACAATTGGGTGAATGAATTTAAAAGTGGTCGTACATGCTGCATCTCATTCGGGATGTCTAATTGAGACTGCTACTACTGGCTACGACAGAAATCATCGATAAAGTCCATATTGTTTTGACTGATTGACGAGTGAAAGTGCGCAAGCTTGTTGAGGCCACAGGCATATCGTCATTAAATTATGCTTTACCCGCAAAAACTTCCCATTTAACTTCTTGCTGGGATGCGGATACTACCTTGATCAAAAAGTTTCCGGAATTACTACCAGATGATGATCTGAATGCTGATTTGAGTTCTGTTTTTTTGGTTAGGTTGCCACATCTATCATTGACATTCCCACCAAATTTTATCACCATAGCTTGACATTTGTAAAAGTTACGCCGTCTCGAGTACATCTACCTCTGCACGTATTTTCGATTTTTTACAGTTTTAAAAATGGAGTTGAATTTGCAATAACAAGTTTGTATTAAATTTTGTGTTAAAAATGGATTCAATGGTGTGAAAACCTTGGAAATGTTGGGAAACTGTTTCGGCAGTGATACTCTAAAGAAAACAGCCGTTTATGAGTGGCATGAATGCTTCAAAAGTGGTCGTGAATCCGTCGAGGATGACGAACGTAGTGGCAGGCCGTCGAAAACCGATGAAAACATCAATAAAGTGAGAGAAATGTTGATCAATAACCGCAAATTAACTATCAGAGAGCTGGCAGAGGACTTAAACATTTCTTATGGATCAATTTAGGACATTGTATTAATGGTTTAGGTTTACGCCGTGTTGCTGCAAAGTTGGTCCTGAAGGAACTAAATTTCATGCAAAAAAGGGATCGCGTTGTTATCGCCAAAAACAATGATTTCCAAGGCTGAATCAGACCCAACATTCATCAAACGCATCATTACTGGAGACGTGGGTTTATGAGTACGACATGCAATCCAGACATCAGGCGAGTGAATGGAAAGCTTCAAAGCCAAGACCAAAAAAATCACGTTTTCAATCGAAAAAGAAAGCGATGCTCACGGTTTTCATGGATTACAAGGGTATTGTACATTATGAATTTTTGCCAGAAGATCAGACAGTTAATAAGGAGTATTATTTGGGCGTTATGAGATGTTTGCGTGAAGCAGTTCGCCAAACAAGAAAGGATTTGTGGGCAAATAACTCGTGGATTTTGCATCATGATAACGCACCGTCGCACAGTGCCATCATTATCCGTGAATTTTTGACCAAGAATGAAACGAATACTATCCAACAGCCATTGAATTCACCTGATATGGCTCCCTGCGATTTTTTTCTGTTCGAGTCAAAAAACCATTACGGGGAACGCATTTTAACAGCCGAAAGGAGGTAATGGAAAAATCGATGATGGCTCTGATGGCTATACTAACAATAGAGTTCCAGAAATGTTTCGAGAGCTGGATCAAGCGCTGGCATAAGTGCGTTGCAGTCGATGGGGAGTACTTTGAAGGGGACAATATTACTTTTGATGAATAAAACTTGTATTTTGAATTTTCTGAATGAATTCCGGGAACTTTTTGATCAAGGTATTCCCGGTTACATGGACGACATGTTAGACTCATTAAATACGGCGTTCGAAAGGCGTGCGCAATACATTCGAGGAAATCGCGCTCTCATAGGTCACTTTCACTGTGACGTTTTCAATCAAAATATATATACAAAAATAAATTTTTAATTAACGGAATGGAAGTTAGAATGAAATTCATTCGAAAGATTCATTTTACTTTATGGAGAGTAAAACGATATCAAAAATACTTTCGAATGCTAGTTTATTCGTAAGAAGAACAAAAATGAGCCCGAGTATGCTATTCACACATGCTAGAATGCTGAGTAAAACTACCACCAAGAAACTATCTCCTTACGAGAGACGAAGTTACATTCACGGCGGCATAGTGAGGAAACCGATAGCAATACTCGGACAGCTGTCGAAGTGAATAACAGTCGGTTTTGTGGATAACAAGGCGTTTAACGGCGATAGAAAATTGAACCCGTTTAATTTCAAAAATTACTTTTCTTAATAAATAATATTCTTTAATAAATAAATTTCTTTTCGCTATACGCCAATGACGTGCAAATTCCCAGTAAGTCGTTACAGCCAAATTTTTTGAAAGACGAGCCGCTCTACGTTGAAGCTTATCACACATTATTCTCGGGAACTGGCACTTTCTGAATGAGGGTAATTCTATAAGTAGAAATGATTATGCCAACGGTTACACTCTTTTCGCTTTCGATTTTATTCCAGATCTATTCCCTAATTGCTCAGGTCATTGGAATCTCGTGAAACACGGAAGCTTACGATTAGATAGAAGTGAGATTCGAATAAGCTCTTTCCATGACTATTAATTGCATCGTCTATGCCGAGTTTGATAACGTTTTAGAAATCGACTCCTTGCAAGTCATTATCGATTTTTCCGGTTAGCCCTATGACTGCCGCGAGAAAATTATTTTCATCCACTACATATTTTTTTCTCATCTAATTACACGCAAGAAAAAGCTTTAATCTTGCTCACGACACCGGCGCCGAAGTTTCATGATGTAAAAAAGAGTAGCGAAAATTCGAATATCATACTGAATAGTCAAGTCATCGATATATAAGGTTTTAGCAATGTCGAAGAAAACTTTATTCCGAAAGCAGTTCTTGCGATTAATACGCCGATTACTTGATTATGATGCCTTATCCATTTGGCGATTTATCCGAGAGAGACGAGAAAACAACTGGCTTACACGAAATTATCACGGAATCGAATGGTTCGACGGAAACGTCAATCTTAAATACTTTACGATACTGCGAGACATTACACGCCGCGCTTGCTACATTTATAGCAGAGGACAAGAAAAAAGGATAGGAAAAGAAAAGACACTTTATCTGAGTAATCTACTTTCCAGAAACGTATATAATCTGAAAGGAATTTCTCTGGCTTTCAAAAATCTATCAGATTCAAAAAACGTGCTGCACGCATCACGGATTTCGAACTAACATTGAATCACATTGCGCCTTACACAACGCTTACAAATTGAAACATTGGTTAACTATACGAAATAGCAGCAATTCGAGCTACGATATTCCATCAGAAAATTGGAGTAAAAACGACGTCGAAGGCAAATAAACAAATAGCAGAAATTTTTCAATTCAGTTTAAAAATCGAAAACACGATGTATTTCGCAACATCGAAGCTTGGAGGAAAAATCATGACAGAAAAGTCGGAGCAAAGCGAGGACGAACGAGCGACAAGCGAGGAGAAAAAAGATCTTTTAAAATTCGTCCCATCGTCAGATAAAGATAAAGCTAACATTAGTATTTCGCAAACGTCAAATTTTAGAACTCTATAACGCAAACTCTCTCCATGCACTCTGACGATGAGAAATGAATTCACTGTTCTAAATGCATTACACCAATTCAGTATCCGACATGTAGGGGGTCTATCTTGCCGATTGATGTGGACGAGGTCGACTGCTATTGTTGCTAACACAAACGATCATGATCTACCTGGCCAGCACTGGATCGCCTTCTATATCAATAAACAGGAACAGGTATAGCAATATTTCGATAGCTACGGCTTGCCACCTTTGGACTCAAGATTCCTCTTACTACTTCGCCGAAACTCCACCACGTATCGCTGGAATACAACGACGTTGCAAGGAATACTTTCTCAACTTGCGGGCAATATTGCTGTGTATTTTAATATTTTATGTGTAATGGTTATAATCTTAGCCAGTTACTTAGTCTATTTACCTCTGATTGTAAACGCAATGACCGATTGATTATACAGTTATTTCATCAATTTTTTCTTCGTTGTAAACATAAAAAAATAATTTCTCATGCTATATGCCGTCATGTTCAATCGTCTACTCTTTTAAAAAATAAAATATGAAACAAATATTTTATGTAATATCACTTTTTTCTTTTTAAAATAAACATTTTTGATCATGTAAATTTCGTCTGTTTCTTACATCTAACCTCGTCCCCTTTTATATTAATCACCTTTTCTCACATATTCTTAGATTTAGATAATATTCATATAAAAACAATTCAATATAAAAACAAAATATAGAAAAAATTTTTCTTTTTAAATAATGTTCGTATTAACGCACCGATTACGCGTGCTGGCGCGAACTTGTTCATTCCTGTTTTACTTCCTCTTTCTCTCTAATGATAGCAAGAGTCCTGAAAATACTTGTAAAAGTCCTCGTCATAAATAATAAGAAAAAAATCCTTTTACTAAAACATCAGTACGCCGAAGACATTGAGCCGCTGCAGCAAAAAATGATCTACAGAACAAAAACTGCTATTCATATCCGCTGTCCTTCCCCTCTCCCCCCCATAACGAAAAAATGTCTCGTTCCCGATTTTCCTTAGTGCTATGGTATTCATCCTTGCCGTCACCTACTCTTCTGCAGTCATCGCGTGGCACTATGGACAGAGGCCAATCATGGCCAATGGTCAATCATCGTGTGGGCAGCTATGGACTGGGCCAATCAAAACGTATCATTTAATTACCTCGTTACTCATACCTTCGCGTCATTGACTAATCAGAGGGCGTCATTTTTCAGACAGGCCACGTTCCCGGCGCCGAAGGTGGAGTGATAGGAATTTGTTTTAACGGCCCATGGCTGTCCATATACTACTCATATAAGTTATTTATATATAAGAGTCACTAAGACATTTTTATAAAATCTTGCAAGAGAAAAGGGTATATGTTTGCATTTATTTCTCTTTCTTTAACCTTTATATAACTTTCTTTAATTTTTAAAATGACTGTTCATACATATTTACGACTACATTGACTAGGTATTTGTTACAAAAATAAATGTAAAAATATAGAAAATGGATGTACAGTACTGTTCTACAACAATTCTTCATCTAAGGTTCATTTCATAATTATATTGCTGAAATATATTATAACATTTATGATACCTAAATTAGTCTGATTCAAATATAAGCGGGAATTGACAAAATCTAGCGAGTCAATAAAAACTAGCTATCGTATGGTAATTTTTATTACAGAGTCCCTTATTATAAAATTATTGAATTTTTCCTAAATTAATTCTCTAATATTTGAGACTTTACAGAAAATAAAACATTAGCATTAAGAAAGATAGAAAAACTTTTAATTTAAAAAAGTTAATAAATTAAAGTTTAAAAGTAACTAAATTAAATTAAAAATTAATGCATTTAAAATTAACTAAGTTAAATTAAAATTATTAACTTTTTAACTGGTTTTTTAACTGTTAATATTGAAACAACCTAACTTCTGTCTCATAGAATAGCTCGTCGAGAAAATTAATCGGGCAGGGAAGAGGTTCGTTGCGGAGAGAGAAGGCGCTTATATAGAGTATCTCAGATCACCCGTCACCTCTTTTTATCTCCGCAGGATAAAATCCGATCAAAAAATATGACCAAAGTTATGTACTGTAACTTTTAATCTTCATACCTCGAAATTTACTTAATCAAAAGATACTTTATTATAGTTTAAAAGATACTTTATTATTTTTGGTAAACTTTTGACATCAGCTATTAGATTCTAGAATAAAAAGTAGAATGTTTCATTTAAAAAAATCGATGTGATCTTGATTTGACCTTGGCATAACTCAAAGTCAAAGCGATGATCAACAAACAGATCTTTTTATACCCCACAACTTTGATTTGAACATATTTTTGATTGATCTTATTCTGCGGAGAAAATTGGACAGGTGGTCTGAGATCCTGTATCCCAGGTGTATAAGCTTAAATCCGCTGTTTTTAAGTTAGAAAAACATATTTTTTTTTTCCCTAGGAAGCAAAAACAAATTTATTCAAGGTACTTGCCCTCGCTAACTATACATTTTTCCCATCTTTCGAGCAATTTGTGTATACCACGCCAAAAAAATTCCTCATCTTTCGAGACAAACCACTCATCAAGCCATTTTCGGACATCTTCGTAAGAATCGAAGTGCCGCTCAGCGAGCGCATGGCCCATCGACGAAAACAGGTGATAATCAGAAGGTGCCAGGTTTGGTGAGTAAGCGGGATGGGATAGAAGGGACTTCCCAGTTGAGTGTCTCCAAGTAATTTTGGACCATTGTTGACGTGTGCGATGGTGCATTGTCGTGGAGGAAAATCAGCTTGTTATGTCTTTTCCGATAATACGGCCTTTTTTCACGCAGAGTACGGTGCAATTTGATCAGTTGTTGGTGGTAGCGGTGAGCATTAATAGTTCCACCAGGTTTTAACAGCTCGTAGTATATGACATCCTCCTGATCCCACCAAATGCACAGCATCATCTTCCGAAGCGATTTGG